TGTTCTAATCAATTGTTTTATATTCAGTGTGAAGGAAAGGATTACAATCAGAAAAGTGATGTTTGGGCTTTGGGATGTATTCTCTACGAGATGGCTACAAGACAGAAAACATTTGAGGGATCCAATCTTCCTGCTCTGGTGAACAAAATCATGAAGGTATGTATAGTGACTGTTTTGAGTATATATAAGTCATATATGATAGCCGAATGGCTTTAAAGAGCTGTGATCTGCTGTCGTTGTAGCTGTGTTTCATCTAAAAATTCTTTCGATACATCCCGTTTGCAAAGCGGTACAAATTTCTTTACGACCCATATCTGATCACGGAGCACAGCTAAGATCGAAATGTTCCGTTTTTGCTGAGGAGGAAAAAGCGGAAGAACTCAGAAGAACTCGGAGAAAAAACCCTTGAAGCAAGGGAGAGAACGGAAACAAACTCAAGTCACTTGTTAACAACAACACTGCACGTTATTTCTAAATAAATTATAAATTGCCTGTGTATTGAAGTRTTTGTTGGTTTAATTACTAATATCCTCGATTGAACAGTTGCAAAGCTGAAATTATTATTTTTATGTTTAAGGGACAATTTGCACCAATCAGAGGAAATTATACAGCGGACTTTAGGACTTTGGTAAGTTGGTTGTTATGTTTTGGTAATGCCATTGTAAATATCAGTACGCATAGTAACTTTTAGAGAAAGATATTTTCGGCTTGTGTTATGGACGTCTTTTCCTAAAGTTGCGGTGAGCCCGAAAAGAAACGATGGTCTAAGCAGTATGGAATTCAACTAAGCGTTTTGTGCGTACTTCAAAAGCGATGTCGATGCAAAGAAAACATAAATAAATTTCGTAATGTGAGTATTCATCGTGAAGAGGTTTTGAGAAGGWAATTGGAGATATACCAAAATAAGAACATATCCATATAAGGCAAACTTTTGATTCACTCGTTTACAATTTCTCTGAGCCGTGCAAAAAGTTACGTTATCATTTTTAAAACCAGTTTTGACTCAGAAAGGTAGTAGCTGTTTGTTGGATTGACATACTTTAAGCTAGTAATCGTAGGAAGTCTAGATATTCGCTGCYTCTTCATTCCAGTGTTTTTCCGCATTGTTGTATTTCTTCATCAAAAATTGACCGCCATAATTTTTTAAGAAGTTTTGTCGAAATCAAAATATTCTACAACTTCCTGTTTTGRTATCATTCGATATGACAATATGTGTAGCCTKGTCAGCCCATAATTTCTTCCACATTCAAGATAGCGGCCATAYTATTAAAAAGGTCTATTGGACAATCCTATTATGCGAGGGAGTAGGGAATCACCGAGTTGGAATCCGAGTCGAGTTAGAGTTGGATTCGAGTTGGATCCCGAGTTAGGACATCAATGTACATCAAAAAAGCAATATCTATTTAACTCAGTCTTAACTCGGTCCTAACTCGGGATCCAACTCGATTCCAACTCTGACTCGGACTCGGATTCCAACTCGGCAATTCCCGATTCCCATTATGCGACTGTTCCATTATCTGGTAATGGTTGACTGGTCAGTCACTCGGTCTCGTATTACTGGAAATTATCATTTTGAAAGTGATTTATAGTTTGACATTTATAACAATGAAGAAGTGGAAAGACAATRTATAAACATAAACATGCATGACAACAAATTTCCTCGCATCGTAAAAGCTTCCATAAAAAATACTGAACTAATTTCAACTATACATAGCTTTWCTTTCAACAGACTTTTATTCAAGTGTGAAGTGAGTTTATTTGTGRGACCTTAGAGACTGGTGTAATTGTTAGGTGTTAATTTCTTGCATTTAAAATGAACGGCTAAATTATAGTTGTTTTAATGCCAGGCGCACAATCCCTAATCTCTCAACGTTAATGCTTTTCTTTGGTATATTTTGATCGGTCGGGAGGATACAAAAGACCTTTTTAATTGCCATTGTCGGCCTATACAAATATAGTAGAGTTCTAACAGTATTGGAGACTTTGATTATGCCCTTCGTTGCTTAGCCGGCTTACTTGGCATGATGAATGTTGCCGGCTTGTTGTGTAAGCATTTATGGTAAAAACGTGCCGGTACGAATCTCATGGATATCGACTACCTTGTTCGCTTCACATTTGAATGTACAGATTTCATATTGATTGAGAGTTCGGACGTTTCTGAGTAACCACCTGCCCGCCTAACGGTGCTCCTTCACTGTGTTGTTGTGGATTGAGCAGCTCGGTGGTGTCCCATCGGAAAACCGATGAAAAAATTACAATGGATTGAGGAAATTGAGATTCTTCACCAGCAAGTAAGTCGATTGTAAATGTTTTACTCGCCTTCGTTTTAGAGAGCATTTTTTGGTGAATTTGTTTTTCCAGCAGGCGGCACTGCGGTCCAACAGTCATAATCAGAGCAATTTCGCTTCTCAGTAAATATTAAACTTTGTACCTTTGTTTCATTGGTTTAAGAAAGAGATTATTTTCAGYCTTGGAAATAAAGATATGCATTTGAAATATAGTCAATTAGTTTTCACTAATCAAGTAGGTTTACTGCGTTGTTATAATTTGTGTGTTGCGTTGCAAACAAACTRAATGATGTTGATGACCTGCTGAAAGCACATAGTGTACTTTCGTTGGATAATAAAAAAAATCAAGAAAAGTAAAAAAAAATGTTATGTCATTCAAAWTTCGCATCGTTCAAAGCGTCTAAAWTTCAACGCACAAAGATATTCATGTTGTCATGACAGATGCCAGTAAACTAGTGACGTGAATGATATCCAGACTTCTGAAAGGCTCCTAATTTTTGACACATTTGGGCCCCCAAAAAGGCACTTTCTGTTTTTTGAGTTAACTTGCCAAACATAATTTGCGACAGCTTAAACDGTAGTTATAAATGAAAACCGCTGAACCAAAATATACGCGCACGTTGTATTAACATGGCCGAACAAAGCGAAAATGATTTTAGCAGAAGACAATAGGCGATTTGCATTATGGCGTCATTTACTACAACTACCAGAATGCTTTGCCCACTTTCTTTTGTAATGCAATTAGTGCCAATTGTTTTACTAATCGCTAAGGGGATTAAAAATCTGAATAACAAAGCAAATGCGCAAGGCTTTCTGGTAGTTGTAGTAAAGTTACGCCATCATGCAAATGGCCTATTTGGTAGTGTATTTTCACGATGGAGTAAAATACTACCAGAATACTTTGTACACTTTCTATTGTAATGTAATTATTCCCTATTGTTTTACTAATCCGCAAAGGGAATGCAAATCTGAATAACAATGAAATATGTACAGCATTTCGTAGTAAATTGACGTCATCATGCATATTAAGTATTCGCTAGGTGTTTAGCTACTCACGCGGCTAGTAGCATTTACACTTTTAACTCRCTGGCTTCGTGTGYTTGTATAGATTTTCRCATATGAATTAGTTGAAACATTTGAGGTATTRGTGTTTTATTTTTCATTTGAAATTGACGTCACGCTGACCAGCTACATGAGMTAATATTCAAACAGTCCCCACAAATTGTGTTGCCTTCTGATGGCGAAAAATAGCATTCTACAATTTTGACAATTTCCATAAAAAATTACAAAAAAGAAGGTTTGATAAGGTGCTAGCTACCTTGATGAACGCGGTTCTCAGACGACGTTTTTTTTCAATTTTTGAAACATGTAATATAAACATTATGAACGGCTGATGTAGGCGCTATATGTCACCTACTAGGCATAATGGCGAAAGAGAGATCTGTAGTGGGATATACAATGCCGAGGAGATATCCGAGACKTTTTTGTTTTGGCCACAAAAGGGATATTTTGATTGTTCTGTATYGCACCATGTCTACAAACAAAATAGCTGCTGTTCTTGAACGATTATGAAAATCAGGCCAAACTTGACCAACATCTAAAACAATCGTTTGCCTAAAGTTCATTTCGTCAAGAAACTGTTCCATGATTCGTTTATTTGTTTATTATTTTTACCATGTATTTTATACGGCATCAGAATATCTATATTTATTTTTTTTCGGTCCGGTATCCTAGTTATTCGCGCGCAGTGATTGGCTAGCGCGCGGTCCGGTTTTTCACGATCTGTCGGGTCCGAAGGTATCCTGCAGCTAGGCTGCGAGCAAAGTTGCATAAAATACAAATAAAAAAAATACAAATGTTCTTTACCGGCTATAGGTCGGTCCGTATAGGAAAACGCTGCCCTCGGTCTTTTGTGTACGGACCTCGTTGCGCTCTTTCCGTACTGTCAAGACCTCGGACAGTGTTTTCCTATACGGACCTCCCAGCCGGTAAATAACATACATATATATTTCCAATTGTTATATTTAAGAAATTTAAAACGAATTTGCGTGTTTGATACTCTAATCAAAATGCGGCGTGTAGAAAGAACACTAGACTGTCCGTGTATCATCGACCAATCAAATTCAGGTAACAATGGCGCGTGCTTGGTATTCTCAATCCAGGAACACGCTTTTTGACCAATCACAGAGCGTGTTATATACAAATTATTGTGTAAGTTCACTTTCAGCTTTCGGGCTGCGATTTATTTATTAAACTATCTATTTCGTCTATCTAGATATACGTACTTTACATAATGTAAAATTTTCTGTTGTTTTTATTCCTTGTTCACATATGTCAGTGAAGTTCATAAATCAGTTCTAATTAGCAATCAAGCCGCCAATGGCGACACAACTCGAAGATTGTCAGACAATAAATCTTGACATAAGTCTGTATAAAGCCTCTTACGAAGGATAAAGTTTATAGAATCGATGAGCATTAAATTACTAATCGACGTAGATCGGAATAATCCTTGAAATCATCGTAATAGCAATGCTGTATTTATGAGCCATATTCACACAATATCTCCTAAAACGACTTCTGAAATCAACAGATTCTTATACAAGAACTTCCAGGCCTTAAAAATCACATTTTGTGTGTTTAAAAAGCCATTTCTGTATCAAACATCATCTTGGTTACGGATTTCTAAATGCCCGTATGTTTACAGAAAAAAAAAAATTAGTGACTAATTAACTAGTCCCCCTCACACATCATCTCCCTCATCTCCCTCCTATAACTCTTCGATTGCTTCGCAATCTTCGAGTTAAAAATGTGTATTTTTAAATTTCATGCTCATATCGCACTACAAAATAAATTAGTCGTCAAAAACTAGCCTTTGTTTATTAGTAATTCACCAGTAAATTTTCAACTTTTTGTAGGTAAGAGATATTTTACAAAAAGATCCCGAGTCAAGGCCGTCCGTCACYGAGTTACTTTACGACAGAGTACCCAAGGTATTGTCTACATGAAATTGTAAAAAAAATATAGTATAAAAATATATATTCATTTCCAATCTTCTCAAATACTTTGTAAAATACTCCCTTTGGTGATGTATTTTCTTTTGTAAACCAATTTTTCACCTTCTTTTTTTCATTCGTTATCTTCATCCTTTTCTTCTTCTCATCTTTCCCTTGTTTTGTTCATGCATTCCCGTTGCTTCCCTTCTAAACTCGCATTTAATTTTTCTTTTTTTACTTAGCCGCCCTTGTATGTTTCATCTACTCTTTTYCTCTGTGTTGAAGCCTTCGTCTTTTTCTTGTCCCCTGTCCTTTCTCTTTATATACTCAGCTGAAAATGTAGACGTTGACATGTTTTAGTTGTTGACTCAATATGAAGACCCGAGAGAGGATGAATTCAGTGCCTCATTGCAGCACAGCAGAAAGAAGACCAGGTAAGTGTTTCTTTGACGGTAGTTCTTATCTGGTCAATTCACGATATACTCGGGTTTAGTGATCACGAACAATTTCATAAAGCATTAAGCGGAGCCGAGGTATCAACGTACAATGTGAGTAGAAGAAAAGATCTGTGTCCGTTGTATCTTGGCGGTTCAATGCTTTGTTCATGGTCATTAACCTGGGTATGGAAAGTCGTGTTTACAGTTGTGGTGRCACAAGTCTATGCAGTTATGTAGTGTTTAAAAAACGAGCAGGAGTGCTTTACGAGGCCGAAGGCCGAGTGTCTATATCCCCGATAAAGCACGACTGCGAGTTTTTTATACTACTTCCAGAACTCCAACAACCAGAAATTGTTATCATTTAGAAAAAAAGCTAAAAAAATGCGAAAACAGTGGTTATGCATAATAAACTTCTATTGAGCATGTGCATTTGCCATAATTGAAAGAATTTTGATCCCACACATAAGAACGGCTAGTCTATGCTATACTGCATGTCTGCACATTGATTCAAACTGATTAAAACCTAGCAAAGGTCTATGATGCGACATTAAAACTGAGACCATTGCTAGTGTTGGGTTACGATAAAGCGGTGATGACGTTGAACATCAGTTCTTTATATCTGATATAGAACTGATTAATAAAACATCTAAAGGCACATCATGTGACCCAATAGTTCGATGCTCATTGAACTAATAGCTCATGAATTATTAATGAGTTCTAGAATAAAAATCAATTGAATTCAAACAAAGAAGATTCTTCTCTTATTGGCCATGTTCACACTAAATACGAGTTTCCCGTCTGAGACGAATTACTTGCCGATGACGAGTRACTTGTCCTACTGTGAATTGAAATGAGTTTTGTCGTTTTTCTCATCAACTAGACGAGTAAGCTACCAGACGGGTTGGTAAACATACCGAATTTGGCCCACGCCCTTAATAGGAAAACTTATTCGTCAGATGAGCTATAACTCGTCGCAGACAAGAAACTCGTTGGTGTGAATASGACTATTTTTTCCTAACCAATAAATCTATAKCATGATCTGAGAAAACACGAACAAATGTTCACAGTTCAATAGCTCTTGAAATTTGAATTCTCTCCTATTTAAGGCTAAGGCTGTATTCCCACAAGACTCCTGAAGGTTARGCTTACAGGCTCAGCCTTACATCGGAGAAAATGCAAATTTGTGGGGCTATTGTAATGACGACATTTTCTAATGCTTTCTTATGTTTTTGGAAAGGTATTGTATACTAAAGAGACTGTGTCTTTTAATCYCACTTTTTAGCCAGAGAGATCATTTTTTCCCGTCATCCAAAAACAAACCATACATTCTTTTTTATTTTTTCAAGTTAGTAGGTGTTGACCCTCATGAGGTCATGTAGACACTCACATCCTGCTCTGCTTTGCTCRTTACTTTCTCTTGCCTTCTCGAGTATTCAGCTTAACTCTGAGTTTGTTATGTGGTGATCAATTTATTGTGTCTTATTCTCATCAGGTCTCTGTTCTTCTACTTGGACATGGCGACTGTTAGCATGTATCCCATTGAAACACCTGTTAGAACCCAGTTAGGAGAGGTAAGGATGCCCATGCACTGTAGATTACATGTACAGTAATCGTTCTTTATTATCCATTCAATAACTGGTCGTTACTCATTGCTTGTCATTTTATCGCTCTGACCTCATTTCGGTATTGCAGCGTCTCTACACGTTTGCAAATCTTTTTCCAGCTTAGACATAAGGGGTCTCAAAATACTGTTTTTACTTCTGTCCTATCCCACCATTGGTCGGTTATTGTTAGTTCTGTCCTATCCCACCATTGGTCGGTTATTGTTAGTTCTGTCCTATCCCACCATTGGTCGGTTATTGCTATAGTTCTGTCCTATCCCACCATTGGTCGGTTATTGTTAGTTCTGTCCTATCCCACCATTGATCATTTTTCTCGGTGTTAGCTTATGGCTTAGAATAAATTCTTTTTGTGGTTGTTTTAAGGTGGCAGTAGGTACTTCTCATGTTGCTGTGGTAACTTTAGAAGGCGCAGTGTATACATGGGGTAATAACAGCCGTGGCCAGCTTGGTCAGGGCGACCTTATTAACCGAGACACGCCAACTCTTATCGATTCATTGAAAGGCAAATCGATTACCAGGTAAACCATATAATCAGCATATTGACGCCAGAGAAAATAGTTTCATTCTTTCTGCTTATGGAGTATTGATACTTTTGGTAAAAATAATTGAGCACAAGTTCTTCAAGGTCTTTGAGGGTAGCACTGAGCTCAAGAACTGTGAATACGTTTTAGCGAGCTGTTTTAATTAGTCACATGACAATGGTCTGTCNCCATTGGTCGGTTATTGTTAGTTCTGTCCTATCCCACCATTGGTCGGTTATTGTTAGTTCTGTCCTATCCCACCATTGATCATTTTTCTCGGTGTTAGCTTATGGCTTAGAATAAATTCTTTTTGTGGTTGTTTTAAGGTGGCAGTAGGTACTTCTCATGTTGCTGTGGTAACTTTAGAAGGCGCAGTGTATACATGGGGTAATAACAGCCGTGGCCAGCTTGGTCAGGGCGACCTTATTAACCGAGACACGCCAACTCTTATCGATTCATTGAAAGGCAAATCGATTACCAGGTAAACCATATAATCAGCATATTGACGCCAGAGAAAATAGTTTCATTMTTTCTGCTTATGGAGTATTGATACTTTTGGTAAAAATAATTGAGCACAAGTTCTTCAAGGTCTTTGAGGGTAGCACTGAGCTCAAGAACTGTGAATACGTTTTAGCGAGCTGTTTTAATTAGTCACATGACAATGGTCTGTCKATTGCAGATTGTGCTGTGGTGATAGCTTTAGCGCGTTCGTTACAGACAATGGCATTGTTATGACAACTGGATCGAGCGATGAGGGGTGCCTAGGTCATGGGGACTGGTCAAACATCTCACGGCCAAAACTAATTGAGGGGTTACTGAGCGTTGATGTCACAGCTGTTTCGTGCGGTCCATGTCATGTGGCTGTTGTTTGTAGTGATGGCCTGGCCTTCRCATGGGGTCGAGGAGCTGATGGAAGACTTGGTCTAGGAAACGATGACGACCAGTAAGTGTTATTTATGTAAAACGCAACACAATTCATACATTCTTTAGTTATGGTTTGGTTATGGTTGATGGTCAAGCAGTTATATAAAGYACAACGCATGTCAGCTCAGTATTAAAGTCTTAGCTTGAAGTACTCTGTGACACACTTTATATACCGAGCATAGTTAGTATTAATACAGACCAAGTCGTCTACAAGAAAACCAACCAATACTTTAATATTGATAAAGGGATTGTATTTGTTTGTGTAGGTGCTTACCATGTCAAATAGCCCTGGATGATCCGGTGTCAATACGAGATGTTCGATGTGGTATTGATGGCACCATGTTTCTAACCGATACTGGAGCATTGCTGGCTTGTGGCAAGTATGTGTTCCCAGTATAGTAGTGAAAAAAAAAAACAACTCCTAAGTGTTGCAGCATTTATATTCTAAGAAATCTTGAGATTTTTGAAATTTCGGGGCGTTTTAGTTTGTAATGTTAATATCTATTGAAATCACTAAACAGTCGCTTTAAACCGAACAAAAAAGAGTGCGGCTAGTTTAGTCATAGTGTTTGGGTATTTGATAGCCAAAAGAMCRTGCATCTTTGATTTTGAACTAATCAGGAAGCTCTTTTAAACAGAGAGACATTGCAAAACAAAAGAAGCGATCGTAAAGGCTCTTAGATGCACGGGGACCTTTGATTCATTTAAATTCATATTATTATACTTTCCTTTCAGCAATGCGAATAACAAGTTGGGATTGAATAACAGACAAGGCTTCCTAATGCAGATGAAAAACCTGCTGAATAAAGTAAGTAGGAATCGGTAGCGTGGTTTGCTAGTAGGGATATCGTTGCCTGTGTTACTTTGTTGAGTAAGTATGTAATAAACGGTGCAAACTAGTGGTAAACTAGTGCGAGCTGCGTCGGTGTTTCTATAGAAGCAGTTGTGTAATAAGATAAATTCAACACCGTAAAAAAGTAATAAAACAACGTTTATGACGTTAATCACTCCGACGAAGGATGAACGTCTGAAACGTCATTAAGTTGTTTCACTATTTTTTTACGTTGTTAAATTTATCTTTTTACACAACTGTAAGTATGTGATATACAATCTAGTAGCTAGATGGGCAAAAAATCGTAAATACTGACAAAATGTGAACATATATCAATTTTTGCCTTAGGTGCAAGTCGAGGTGAAGAATGTCCCAACACCAGTAAAAGCATTGTCCCGTTATCGCGTAATGGACGTTGCCCTGGGACCTACCCATAGTGCCGTCCTGGTCGAACCTGGTCACGTGTACACGTTTGGTTCAAATAGTCTGGGGGAGCTTGGGTCGGGTAATACCAAACCACGTGATGCTCCAGCTCCTGTCAAACAACTTGAGGATACAATTGTCACGGTATRACATCATCTATGTGCTGTTTTAAAGGGGGTTATTTTATGTTTCTTTAAGGGGGTTATTTTATGTTTCCGCTTTAATGGGGTTATTTGATATTTCTTTAAGGGGGTTATGTGCTGTTTTAAGGGGGTTATGTGCTGTTTTAAGGGTGTTATGTGCTGTTTTAAGGGGGTTATGTGCTGTTTTAAGGGGGTTATGTGCTGTTTTAAGGGGGTTATGTGCTGTTTTAAGGGGGTTATGTGATGTTTTTAAGGGTCATTTATGTATCTTTAAGGGGGTTATGTGATGTTTTTTAAAGTAGGTTGATTATAAACACGTTGAGTTTATTGTAAAGACATTACCTTATCCACACTCAGTGTTTGGTCTCAGAAAACGTTTCAAGACTAAAGTGATTGAAAAGTATAGTACAGATAGTAAAAGCATTTGTCGCTCTAGTTACTGCCATTGCGATGGTCTGATACTCAGATTACTGCCATTACCCATGATGCTTTCAGAAGCGTTATTTGGTCTTCTGTGGGGCAAATCAAAAGATTATATAATACTTGTTTAAAGCTTAACCCCTAGATCAGCTGGACTTCATTATACATGAGTGTAACGCGGTTCTCTTTGTAGATGGTTTTATGTGGAGACTGCTTCACTATGGCGGGTACCAAAGACAATACATTGTATTTTTGGGGATGTCGTTCGTTGCAAAGAGCGCGTAAAGCAAGCGAGACTGACAAAACTGATTCCGAGACGACGAATTTCAAAAAACACAAGAGGAATGCTAGTGGTAGCATGAGTATTGGTAGCGCTGATAGCTTGGAGTGCTCMTCAGGGTTAGTAATATCATAATCCAATCATTATATTTGATCCACAGCTGGAAACTAGTGTTGCCAYACAGTATTTGACYATCCATWAAACTAAGTGAACCATCACAAATCCCGCATCCCGGCCGTTTCYTTGTTCTTATGTCACCTTTTTCCCGTAGTTTGATGGACACCAACAATTAGACCGCTCGGTATCGTGAACTATGATTCGATGGTCAATACGCCCGACTATATCAACTCGACCTCGCGATGTAATTGTTACTGAAATATTCCCCAATACAAATCAAACGCGAATTWTTGAACAATTAGAGCTCGAGGGCGAGTAGCGTAGCCAATCAGAATGTATGGTAATATTAATACTGTACGAAGGAGATCACAACAGTTACTTTCTACAGTGCCTCTTTTTTATTGTGAGTGAGCAGTAACACTATTCTGAACAAAAATACCTGGATGGGATACCTGTGGGTTCTGACAAAACGCTGTTCACCAGAGCGATGGATGCGGTTATTCCGTAGCGGCGGACATTTTGTGCCAACTCGCCACAGTGTTTCTTTGGACCTGAAAACGAGGTTGTGTCAATAGTGATCATGCATAATGTCAATCGAGCATAAAAAATAAAAACATGATGGTCGAGGTTCAACACCATAATTAACCGCTTTAACAGAACGTGTTTATACCGCCAATTTGAACCACAATGCTAAATGCCAAAAARCGGCATCTTCTGAAAAGTACAGCATTCGCTTGTGCAGGAGTGGAGTTAAGACGCATAAATTATATTTCCTGTGGGGATCCCAGTAGGGCGAAAAATAATCCACACTGAAAGTCAAACAAACTCGCAGCACTTTAAGACGATTGTCCTCTTGCCCTGTCACATGTAATAAGTCAAGGTGTGKAAATTGCCAAAGGACTTGATAGTAACGTTTGTGCGGTTATTTATGCGTGTACTGTCATAGGAAATATTCTTATATTATTAAAAAGATATCTCAGTATTGCATCACTGTAATCATCTTCATTTAATTGTTCGCGTGCGTGTTACAATCTGCCGATACTACACGGACGTTCATGTTGAAAATATCTTATATGAAATAGGTTATTTTATGCCATATTCGCTATCATTTCACAGCACCAAGAGCGACAGCTTGACCAGCAGTCAAAATTCATTTGCTATGCGTCGAGTTGGTGTGTTAGAATCCACGACCGCAAAGGCGGAACGCGGGCGCAAGGACGGTTTTCAAGAGGGGCTCGCCATGCCTGCATTGCACAAGAAACGAAAAGATGCTGTACAAGAGGAAGGCAGCGCGCCGCTCGACCGAATGGATAGCTGTGGAAGTGAGSTGGACCAGCAAGACGGAGATGGGTAATTGTACATTGACTAAAATGTCTCATTTTCACACTGATGAAGGTTGACGTGAAARTCGTAAATWCAAWATAAGTAAAAGGAAACTTTCCCATCGTTTCGTGATGAATCTTGACGGCAGCACAGAAGAACAGAATTGTGCAATAAAACCATTCGCGACAATCGTTTTCTTGATCTGGTTGCTTAACATTATACTTACGTTTGTGATGTCTTTTAGTCTTTCAGATAAGGACAATACTGATAACACGACCAAAGAGATTTCCAAGAACTATATACGTATGTCATCTCGAAAGGGTCGTCTTAATGGCCAAGTTGGCATGGGCTCTCTCAAGATGTACGACAATGAGCCTGTGTGTTGTCCCATATCGATGTTCCACTGGGATGCTATCAGCGGTATTGATGATAATGATAACGAATACCCGGTCTATTTGCAGGTATGATATCTAGTATATTTTTATAGTGAATTTGAAGGTGACGTCGCCAGGTATGTTGTCAGGAAGAGACGCTATCGAGTGTATAAGAATGTACTGTTATGTCATGACAATGTTTATCAACAATACAAATTGCGAAAATAATATCAAGTATTTTAAATCATGGTTTTGTGTTTTGTTATTTATAGGATATTAGTGGTTTTGGAGAAAATATATTTGTCCAGATTGAAACTACTGCCCCACCGCCGCGACGAAAGTCGAAAAAGCGTTCTATCAAAAAATGCAAYGAAAAGAAGTCCAAAGGGACAACAGCGAACTTCACAAAAAGGTATCTAACAAGTGACCTCGGCACATCAAACATTAGTGCATAACCATTATTGATATCTTTTCTGAAAGGTCTCTAGCAGGTTCGGGATCAGCATTGGATTCGTCTATTGGTTCGAGTTCTTCTGATGTTGAATACCTTGGGGAGGTGAGTAATCAGATATGAAAGAAATACGTTTTCCATTTACCTCAAAGTAGAGTAGTCTCCATTTCCTTTTTTTTTCTTTGATAATGGTCTTCCCCGTTATTCTTTTTGTCATCTTTCTTCCTCTTCTTCGTTCTTCTTTTCTTTTCTCTTTCTGTTCTTTCTCTTCTCTTTTCCTTCGTTCCTTCCTTACTGAACATTTTCCATATCAAATAATTCTGTGTCAACTGTAGTCAAACATTTTAGATTCATTGTTCTATGACCAAACAGTTAGCAATGATAATTCGTATCATAATGATGATGATGACTATGATATTTTTACTTATTTACTTTATATGCACGTATGAATTAGAAAAGAAATGAAATATGTAAAAAATACATATATGCCGAAATACATATATGACGCTGGTAGAATGTCCAATTTCTGTTTCCTAAAGTAGCGGTGTTAGCACGACCCAGTGACTTTGATATCCGTTCTTATACCTGGCCTCTTTTTCCTTACGTTGTTACGAGTTCTGCCAAGGGCTTTGCTTTGGCCAGCCTATTTTGCTTATTGGTAGTCCAAAGCTGYTACAGGCATATGTCGACAGTATGTTTTCATGTCACTTTCTGACATTTAGAGTACCAGTCATCGGTAGGACGTTGATGGATCATCTTCAATTTCTCAAATGTTCTGTCGATAGAGTACAACCTGTTCATGGCTTCGTGTCCATAATTCATAAGACATAATTCATACTAAATCTAATGCGAACATTTCCCTTTTCTTAYATCTTTTCTTTCTTTTTCCCCGCCTATCGTTCTTGTCATACCTCTATGTACATCAAATATATCATTTTTTCAGGCGCCGACATGGTTACGCAACGAGCTCAAAGAAGGAATAGTGAGTTCAGAGACGGTTGATGAAGACGCCGATAGCGAAGAAGAGTCGGACACTGACGGCGGTTCCGATAGTTATGTCGACGACACAGATACCAACGAAGATTTGAAAGTAAAGTCCTCAACCACAAACGGTAARAAGCAATTGAATTGAAGGATGTGTCAATAACAGGATATATTTATACTGTGCTGACATCATCATCACTCGCTMAATTAAAAGAGCGAATGTCTTTTGCAAGTGTTTAGACGCAAAMTTTGATGGTTGTGCTGGGTTAATATTGTACATGATTGTTYACTGTGTTTAACGTTGCTTTGAGGGGGAAGAGGGATACTAACTGAAATACTTACATCCATATGCGAAACTAAACCAAATTTGATTTATCAACTAGATTCGACCAATCAAGATAGCGATGCAAACTCCGTCAAAGTCGTCAGTAAAACAGACAAAATGCGCAAGTCAGTCTCGGAAACAATGATTGTTGGTGGYGTTGCCATAGCAATGCCTAATAAAACTGAAGARCCAATCAATGTCCACTCAAGTGCAACGTCGCTGAGGCAGACAAAAARCACCGATGATATGGAAGATGTGAGTTTTAATGCACACTTTGCATTTATTGTTACATTGAATGAGGACCGAATCATAGCGATTCGAAGATGAACTACTTGATAAAATATGAGATTTCAAGAGAAAAGAAAATAAAATTATTAAAAAATTATTTTTTCTTAAGAAGTGACTATAAGCGTGTGATTCTGCATTTTATCACACTTGTGTAAATTCTCGCGCGCTGATTGGTCAATAAGAGGACATGCACATTATGATGACAGCATCACTTCTCATGCGTACTCAGTTGAAAGAAAATAATGATTTTCGCTAATTTTTAGACTTAAAATGTGGTAAAAAGCAAATTGCACACGGGTTTTYGTTACTTTTATTGACACACGCCCGCTTCACGTCATAAAATGCTCAAATCTTTTCAGTSAACCCACTTGAGTTCCACTTGAGTTTTGAACATTTGATGACGCCAAGAGAGTGTCTCAAAACCGTGCGTAATTTGTTATATTATGATGACTAGGCATGGCTACCTGTATAATACCATAGTAGACTATATCTATACATAGTTACTATACGATTAGAAAATATAAAATTGTTCTGAATCTATTYAGGAAACTAAATCTCCATCAACAATGGGTGCTGAGGGTTTGAGTATWTCGCGAGTTTTCCCTCGTCCCGCTAGTAGCCCAACGACKAARTTATCTACAGAAAAGCGGTCTACRTCAGAAAGTCAGCTCGTGACGTCGGATAGTGGTCTCGAATTGAATATATCTGAGAAGCTCAACAGCTCCAGTGAAGGTTCATCGGATCCCAGTAGGAACAGGCCAGTATCACTAGAGTACGTATTCATCTGATATCATTTGTTGGGGTTTGTGCGGTARCATTGAGTAGTATGATGTCCTGTAGTGCTGGTTTTGTATTTGTTGTTCATGTTACAGTGTGTACTCAATGTCAGAAAGCTGGAATCTATAATTATAATTTCAACCTTTTTTCAGTGTTCGAAAGAAAAGTGCTGGGTAAGTACAAGTTTTGTGTATATTATCATCATTATGAATGCCATCATATTTTGTTGTTGTGTGTTTTTTCAATTTACAGTCCGCCGTCACCTTCGCCCATTCGTCAAAGCAAGTCCGTGTCACTGATATCGAACAGAACAGAGAGAACATACGATACGAGAAGACCTGTAGGACGSTCCAGGTTCAACGCTGCTGTTGGTCGAGTAAGGCCTGGGTACGTACGTACTTCACAATGGTTCATTAGTTGTCCCTAGGTTGTGAGGTCGGTAGTTTYTCCTCCCCGAAATTTGACGARACCGGAAGTCGCGGCTGTTAGAAGAGACTATGAGGTCGGTAGAAACATTTCTATCGAAGCTCGTATTAATATTACGYAGCATAACTCTTCAACTCGATGTCTAGTGATTGAGAAAACAAACGGTAAAAAAGCACATATCATCTTGGAAATTATAGGAAAATCTGGAGAWAAAAGCGATATGTGACATTTTTGTCGAGCTGTATGTAAGAGTTAAATACATCCAGAGGATTCTTTCTGAATTCCCAGAACGAACTTTTAAAMAAATTGCTTTTCAATTCTATTTAACAATGAAGTTAACGAACCTTAACTTCAACCGACAAAAGTAGCTTTTGCAGCTCGGTCCCTATCGCATGGTACATAGTGGTTTAATAATAATGATAATAATATATTCCTTGAAAACGCATAAAACTAACGTCTCTATGCTTTTTACAAACTAATAAAACTTTGATTTTTATATTG